TTATTATATATTGTATAAATAAATGTTTACTTATACTTAAAAAAAAACACATAATTATACTGGTATACAAACATTTGTTGGCAAAAAGGGTCAATATTTTGGTTTCTTCAGAGGCTTTTGGTCGGCAAATGTAGTTCGACGGGCAAAGATCTTTCATCATGTAAAGTTTTAAGTGCGAAGGAAATAGTTGGTGTGTAATATGGCATCCCTTGCGCAAAGAATCATTTAGGCATCGATGCGTAAATGTATATTTTATTATTTAGGATTTGGGGTTTAGAGTTTACATTTTGTAGGACAAAATATATTATTTCGTCGGGCAAAGGTGAGTGACATTTTGGCATTTTCAATTCCTTTGATGATTTTCGCAATCTACAAAATTAGTTTCAACACTCCAAACGTCAAACATGTTTATATACACATAGATATCGCATATGCCAACAATCATAAAAAACAAACTTTCAGGGATTAGGTAACGGAACAAAATCTGTTGACGATTAGAAATAGAAAGTCACAACCTAATAGTGATTTCAGCTCTAATTTGATGATTTCCTACAACCAAAGTTCTAAGAAACACTAGACAGGCTAAGGGGATTTAAACAAAATTATTATATATTGTATACATAAATATCTACGTATACTTAAAAAAAAACATATAATTATACTGGGATACATAAATTGTAAAAAAAAAAATGACATGTAGATTATAAAGTATTACAACAAATTGAAAATATAGGGAACAAGCATATAATGAGTGTTCATCCAAATATTCAACCTTACATTTTATTGAAAAAATAAAATGTAAAATGAAAGTTAACGATTTTTTGTTCCAAGTGTGAGTCGCAACCTATGCAGGTTTAGGCGATCTAGGCGGACACCTAAGCGGGTCTAGGCATACTTTCTTAATTTTCAAACACCTAGGGATTAAACGGGACGGTGGCCGGCTGCCTAGCGCTTACAACTACAGTCCTCGACCTTAGAAGAATACAAAGAATGAACTCGACCATAAATTTAAAATATTTATACTAGTGGTTACCATAAAATCTTATGCTATACCTAATGGAAGTATAGAATAAACTCTGAGTGTTTGTTGAATCTATTGTTTTGATGGGATACGCAGTCTAGAAAACTAATTTCAACGATCCAACCGTAAAACTCGTTTGCATATAATTTGAGATCGCATATGCCAAAAATCATCAAAAACAAATTTTAGGGGATTTGGTGATAGGACGAAATCCTCCGATAGTTAGAAATAAATGAAAAAACACGATTAATTAACAATGATTTACCTCCAATTTTAATATCTTTTTACAGGATGCTAATTTAGAGTAAAATCACATGTTGAAGGGATTTGATCTTCAAATTTGATGATCTTTTGACTGTTTGCAATTAAATGAGAAAATAAGAAAAAATAAAGTTTTGAGGTTTGCCTGATGAACATGTGTAGGTCGTCAAGCAAAGGTACATATATGCTTCGGGTCACAGTATTAGTTTGTAAAGCAAACGTACAAATTCCCTCCACTTTTTCTCAAAAAAAAAAATCCAAAGTTTCCCCACACATAAAGGTTTTACCCGACGAAATGCTCTAACATTTCTAACATTTCGTTGGGCAAACTTTATTTCCCACCAATTTTTTCATAAAATAAAATATAAAAAAAATAAAAACTAAGCTAGGCTAACATTTTTAACTGACTTTTGTCCGACAAAAGCTCCTAGTTTGCCCGGTGAAATTTTAGATTTTTTAACACGTGTCATATTTTTTTAAACCTTTGGCTGACAAATCATTCAATCGAGCAAAAGTCTGCTATGTCAACACCAAGCTCTCCTTCTTCTTCTTCCTCCTCGCATCGTGCTAAACTCTTTCTCTTTGCTATTTCTCTCTCTCACTCTTTGTCTCTACTCTTTCTCTCTGCCAGCATCCACCTCGGACCTCCATCGTCCTTCCTCCACCATGACGAAGCTGCACATCTCTCTCTCCTTTCGTCCTTTCTCCGGCAACCGTAAGTCATCTCTCTCTTGTTTCTGATTTTGATATTTGTAGGAGAATTTGTAGGATTTGTGATTGGTTTTATACGACGAACTTTGGCCGATGGAATGTTGTTGGACAAAATTACAAGCACCAAAAACGTATTTGGCCCGACAAAATTACTGTCTAGAAAATGGGGTTTTTTTTTAGTGTTGCTACCGACGATTCCTGGTTCCACCCTTCGATTCATGTAGATACCGTATATCATAATTGACATTCTAGTCCGGCATTAAGATAATATAGTCATTACAACAAGTGATAAATACTATAACGACTTGTCCCCAAATATTTCAGTTTTTACAATTTTAATACGTGAATTTACAAAAATGCCCTTCGAGGCAAAACGTTGACTTTTGTTAACCGCCTTGTTGTGTCACGTTTTCGAGCCAACCCCTTACCCGTTTTCAACCTGCACAACTCGGCCAACAACTCGGTTCCTACAGCGAGTTCTGACGCTATCTTCAGCGTTTCTCCAACGATTTGTGGCACGAGGCCACTTAGGAACAACCTAGCATCCCTTCCTCTTCCAATTTCATTGTAAACCCAAGTTAATTGGACCATGAATTCATGAAGAACTCCACAGCGAGTTTGTGGGATGCAAGGCGGCGATCGGCCGATTCTGAAAGCCTCACCATAGACCACCACCCATTTTTAACTCTTTTGAGTCCAGGAACAAAGCCCAGGGTTGGGTTGAGGCATCGGAGCTTGTTTGGGATCGAATCAAGAACACCTCATTTCTAGGGTTTCTAGCGGATTGATGTAGATTTCAAGTGTTTTCCTCTCATTGAGATATGCATTCCTATCTAATTTGGGAATTTTTGGAGTTGTTGAATTTTCTGGCAAGTTGGGCCTGCTGACCGCTGCATGCGGCGGTGCATGGCCTTCCAGGCTACCGCCTCGTGGTGGCTCATTTGGCGACGCGTTAGGGGAAACCCGAGGTCCCTCCTTAGGTTTTTCAACGTGCCGAATCCAAATTCGCTGTCTGTTTTCCCAAATTCTATCGTTTAAGTATAGTTTTACTAAATGGTTCCTAATTATGGTTAGGTGCATCGGTGGAAGTGATCCAGTCCATCCTAGTTCATGCGGCTCTCGGACAATAAAATATATGTGAGTGGATCTCTTCTTAACTTATATGTTTTTATTAAATATTAGCCTAGCATGCATTTCATAATTCATGATTTGGAGTATGTTTTATATTATGCATTACGGATTTCTATATTATGGCTTACAAAATACTTATGATTTATCGAAATTATGTTTTTATGAACGGTTATAAATTATAGGATTATCGTATCTAGAACTCTATGGATTTGCGGATATGATTTATTTATGGTTTATGAATATGAGATATCATGGATTTATGAAATGAGGCTTTAAGTTTTTGAGCTCCGAATTTGATATGAGATTTTAAGATATGTTTTTGGTACTTATCTAGTGGGTTATCATACAGCACATCCACACAACACGGTATGCAGATGTATATGGCCATAGGACAGTTGAGGAGATTTATGTATATACCTTTTCTCTGGCGTAACCTGGAGTCACACAGCTTCATCTTCAGGTGATGGACCATGGTTTTCTTCACTGGCATAACCTAGTGTCGTACAACTTCACCTTTGAGTAATGGACATGTATTGCCTTTGGGCAGATAAGGAGTTGATGATATTGATGAAATACCCCCAGCTTCACTAGCCCGGGGCTAGTGTTAGTGTGTGATGTTATATATCCTCTTCTTCGGCGTAACCCGGAGTCGTACAACTTCACCTTCGGGTGATGGACCATGGTTTTCTTTATTGGTGTAACCCAGTGTCGTACAACTTCACCTTCGGGTGATAGGACAAGTACTGCCTTCGAACGACTATGATACCCCTAGAGAGAGTACAGTTGAGGAGATTTACGGATTTGCCTTCGGGCGGCTATACTACTATTTCCGAGCACTATTTTACACGCATTGATTTTACAAATGATTTCATGGCATGCTAGGGTTTTCAGAGAAACCTATTATGTAGTATTATATATGTTTTCAAAATAAAGGGGTAGTATATTCATAAAGAAAGTGGTTTTCCTATTATTAGTATTATTAAAAACTTTTGTCCACTCACCTTTTCTGTTTTGCACCCCCTCAGGATTTAGATTCGAGGCACACGATCTAGGTGTCAGGACACCTCCACTTAGGCATCTCGAGCCTCCTTTGTGTAGGACCCATTCCTCAGTTCATGCATTTCTACCATAATTCTTTCACTTTATTCTCGATTAGTTGTACGCTCTGAACACAATTCTGCTTGGGTTTAATTCATTCTAACTACATATTTTATCGGCATGCATGTTTTTAATGGCTTCGTCGCCCTTGGGTGTCGGCTAGCACGTGCCTACCCTGATATTTAAGGATATCGGGGTTGGGTCGTGTCAAATACATCATAATAGAATTTTCGTAACACTTGTTTTTTTTTTTCTTTTCTTTTTGAGCAAAATCGCAACATTTGTTGATATAATCAATTTGATGTTTTTGTTCAAAAATGATACTTTTACCATATATTTGTATCATCTTCCTAATAGAAAGATCAACATGCGTTGACAGGCCCTACACCTATTAAAGCTATAGTACAAATAGGTGGTTAGTGTAGCATTATTCGTTTTTGTTTTATTTTGTTTTGTGATAATATATACATATGATGTTTCTACCTATTGGAGCTATATAGCTAGTTAGCCACCTTAGCTACATAATATCCGCAGATCCAAAATCCAAGCCACCAAACTCTCAGCCCTATTTGGACTAAAGACTGCGTTCCCTTAATTATTCTTTGTTCAACACAGTCAAACCAGCTCATTCACTATCTCCCTCACCATATTTTGCGCAGAAAGAGATACTCTTCCTCTATTTATAGCAAATTTAATCACTCCTTTCACTTGTGTGTTTGATAGAGAGAGAGAGAGACACACACACACACAGATTTTAGCAAATTGAATTCCAATGAGGATGTTACGAAATCTACTGTTGATTCTTTTATTCAGTACTTATTTTGTAGCGACGTTGGGTGAAAGAACAGGTCAGAATGGTGACGATGGTAGGAAGGTACATACACTCCAGACGACAATTTTTCCATTTGTTTCGTCAGTTCATCATTTTGTGCAACAACGTTATCATGTTCTATCGTCAGACTGAGATAATATGACAATCAAATGTGACTATGTGACAACATAACTTGCTAATCGTCTGCCAAGAGACATGTACCCTATAATGATTGTTATTTACAAAGTGATGTGAAATTGTACTTTTAACAGACTTACATTGTGTATATGGGAGAACTGCCAGGACCTGAAATTTCCGCCATGAGCGGACACCATAACCTGCTCGCAGAAGCGATTGGAGAGTAATGATCAGCTTCTTCCAACCAATTTTTTTTTTTATCAAATTTTTATATGTTTACTGAGCTATTCTTGAGGATGACCGAACATTTTCCCTTTAAATTTCAGTGTCAAAGTAGCCAGAGAATCAATAATTCATAGTTATGGAAGGACTTTCAATGGCTTCGTAGCAAGATTGTTGCCGCATGAAGCACAGGCGCTCTCAGGTTCTTAGAAATATAACTAAGTAAATAAGTAAACAAATGGTGCTACCCTAATAAGGGTTCTAATTATTATCAGAATATTAGGCACTTCTATTTATATTTTCTATGATTTTCCTTGATTTGTAGATGATGATAGTGTTGTGTCAGTGTTCCCAAACACCGTGCGCAAACTTCATACAACAAGGTCATGGGATTTCCTAGAGTTGCCTTTGAAATCAAAGAAAAGGAACTCTCAAATAGAAAGCAATACCATAGTGGGTGTGTTGGATACAGGTTGGTATAGTCTGCCATTCTTTTCCCTCTTTTCTTTTATAGATAGAACCATCGCTCATGAGATTTGAACTCCATACTAGATGTCGCTGGATTAAATGATCATAAATTCATCAGTATGTTCTTATTCCGATTGAAAGACAATAGAAAAGAAACAAAATTGAAAAATTGTGAAAATAAATTGCAAAATTGTGAAACAAAATGTTTATGACCCTTTTAAATTCTCTGTGTATAAGGAATTTACATGCAGGCTCCCAGTTTCAACGATAAAGGCTACGGGCCACCCCCAACTAAATGGAAGGGCAAATGTATGAAGGGTGCAAACTTTACAGGCTGCAACAAGTATGTCACTCCTTTCTCTCTCTAACTCCAAATCAGTATTTTATTTAAAGAGATGGGCAGGTGACCTACTACTAACAACACTGATATTTTCTCTCAACTTGTATTTTACTAATGCACAGCACGATAGGTGTGAGGGTCTTATCACAAATATCCCTCTATGTAGTTAGAACTAGAGTCATTCAATAAAGCTACATTTAGTTTTGTTAAATTTTTGAGGTGGGATTCTTGTATTCTCCAACATAGCAGTCTCATGAAAAACCTTATTTCTGTGCCTTTTTCCTTGAGCAGCAAGGTAATTGGTGCCAAATATTTTAAACTGGAAACTGGTCGTCCTTATTGGGGCACCCACAGTCCAGTCGACGATGACGGCCATGGCACTCACACTTCGTCCATCATTGCTGGTGCAGCCGTCAAAGGTGCCAGCGTATATGGCGTTGCAAAGGGGACTGCACGAGGGGGCGTGTCGTTGTCACGCATCGCGGTGTACAAAGTGTGCTGGATCACTACTGGCTGCCTTGATGTGGATATTTTGGCCGCGTTTGATGAGGCCATTGCCGACGGGGTGGACTTAATATCAGTCTCTCTAGGCGGTCACTCGCGGAGTTTTTTGGACAATCCCATTGCCATTGGATCATTTCATGCCATGAAAAAAGGGATTTTTGTGTCGTGCGCAGCAGGGAATGAAGGGCTTCTGGCCAGTGTGGAAAACGTAGCACCATGGGTTATGACAGTAGCTGCTAATACCATTGATAGGCAGTTACAGACTGTAGTAAAATTGGGAAATGGCCAAAGGATATCGGTAAGTCTCTCTCTCCCTCCCTCACTAAAACAATCTAACAATAGACACTAACACTAATTGCTCACAAATACACGTCAATATGGCTATAGTCAGACTTTTTTCTAGTGCGCATCTCGCGCACAAACACATAGAGTGCAGAATTATCACGCAATCTGATGAGTTAATTGTAGGGAAATTCACTCAACACCTATTCGCCGAAGAAACTAATGTATCCTCTTATAAGCGGAACCCTTGCAGCCAACACGACCATGCGATTCGGGGGAGATGCGAGGTATGAATTTTAGCACAAATTGTTGTGTTCACATAATTTTGTCACTTGTAAAACGTTTGATTATTATATAGTACGAAGATTAGTTCCATGTTGTGAGAAGGCGAACATATGTGTGCTCATACAAAATATTCTTCGACTATCTTCTAAACTCGCATTGATAATTTTGGTGAAATTAATGCAATTTCAAGAATATAAATCCTAATTATCAAATGATGAAAATGATAACGGCAGTGCTTGTGATGCTTGGGCTCTAGACGCTAACAAGGTGGTGGGGAGGATTGTGTACTGCCAAGGGTTTGGTACTCAGGATTCCACTATGCAAAAGTTAAGGAGTGCTGGAACCCTAATGACACGTTATGAACTTGATGATTACGCTTATAGCCCTATAATCCCCGGTACCGAAATCCTTGTACAAGATGGGATCAAGATCGAGAAGTACATCAACTCTACCAAGTATGGTTTTGTATAGCTTATTTCATTCACATCTTTTACAGCTCATAAAGTTTTTCAGAGGAAAATGATTTTTGCATACCGCCTCCTTCTGCACACTCACGCCTGTTTATGGAGAAGGAAAAAAGAAGTGGGGCGGAAATCACTTTCCTTCTCATATATGAAAACCCTAATAAGTTATGTGGTACTAATTCCAGAAACCCTACGGCTGTCATATACAAGACCAGAACTCCTAGTACGACCGCCCCCATCGTTGCTTCTTTCTCATCGAGAGGACCTCAACACATGCACCCCAACATCCTCAAGGCATCTCTCTTTCATCTCTCATCTCTCTCTCTCTCTCTCTCTCTCTCTCTCTCTCTCTCTCTACATATTTGGTTATAATCAGGTACCATTTCCACCTACAGCCTGATATTTCTGCACCAGGGGTAAACATATTGGCTGCATATCCAAAGATACAATCCATAACTGGCTACTCAGACGACCGGCGCCACAATGTGTTCAATATGTTATCAGGTACGTCCATGTCTTGCCCTCATGTAACAGCAGCAGCCGCCTATGTCAAGTCCTTCCACCCGGACTGGTCACCTGCTGCCATCAAGTCCGCTCTAATGACGACCGGTTAGTCTTCCCAAACCGTACACTAAAAAAAAAACAGAACAAAGTCCATCAAAGCAATGCGCTAACCAATCTTTTCACTTCATTTGTCTCAGCCACACCAATGAAAAATGAAACAGCGGATACCCAGCTAGCCACGGGAGCAGGACAAGTAAACCCAAAAAAGGCAGTGCATCCTGGTCTTGTGTACGACATTACCCCAGATGACTACATTAGTTTCTTGTGCAAAGAAGGTTTCAACGACACAGACATAGGCAAACTTATTGGGGATAAAAAGAAGTACAAATGCTCAGACTTTAAACATCCACGAGGCACAGACGGCCTCAACTATCCTTCCATGCATCTTCAGCTTTTCCCGAACGACAATTATGGCGTTTCAGCAGTCTTCCATAGAAGAGTGACGCATGTAGGGTTCGGTAATTCCGTGTACAAGGCAAAGGTGACGAATTTGAATGGTTTGAGAGTGAAAGTCATACCGAGTACCTTGACCTTCACTAAGTTGCATCAGAAAAGGTCGTTTAAGGTTGTGGTGACTGGTCGTCCGGCGATGAACGAGACAGTTATGCACGCTTTACTCCAATGGGATGACTCTAAACACAACGTTAAGAGCCATATCGTAGTCTATAAGCATCTGAATTAGGGCACAGCGTTAAAAGCCATATCGTAGTCTGTTAGCATCTCAATTAGGTCTCCTTTAGCTTAGTTTTTGCTTCTAGTGCCAGCATTTGGTAGCTCTTTTTTCCTAGTTTTCATTTGTTGCTATAAATAAACATTTGCTCATCACTTGACAATTACTTTAAATCGATTTCATAGACATACTGTTCATATGTGACTAACAGTCGGCACTCGTTTCCGCAAACGTCCATGCACAAAGTTGGCCTACGCATGGCGTGGCCGGGATCGTTACGGCAACCAACGAAAGTTAAAAACAGAAAATTTCCGAATGAAAAAGAATCAAGGATCCGGGTATTTATTAGTGTACATGTTACAGAGAGTTCAAACAGAACTACAGCAAGGATGGCGGAGCTGGTTGAACCAACATCTCATGCTCAAACCATTCGATTTACGTAAACAACATGTAAAATACAAGCAAAAGCCTTCAAGATGTACCTAAGTTACAGGCCACATCTTTTCATGTCAACCTCGGCAACTTTCCGTATAATTAAAGTTAGGTGATGTGCTCTAGACTCGAATCTCCAAGGGGTCCCCCTAAATTTAAAGGACCCGCATGAAGACTAGGAGAGTGTACATCCAAGCTCAGCACTGTGTTCGACACTGCCGGCCATGAAGGTTCTTCAGCTTCGTGAGTTTTTTCCTCCTCTTTCTCGCTTCAGCTGCAGCAATCGCATCCGCAAGTTTCCCAGTAGGGTAGACGATTGGTTCGCTGTTCTTCTCTGGCAAGGCAGAGAACTTGTGATAAGAGTTGTCGACTGTTACAGTGTAATCTGGTTCAAATCCGTTCTCATGCTTGATACAAGAAGCAACTCCGGCATGGTTGAGTGATGATGGAGAAACGAATATTTCCTTACAACCATTTTCCTTCGGGTGAGGTCCTGTGTGCTGATCACCTTCATCCAGAGGAAACTGAGCTGGGGTCTCGTTAAGATCATGTGAAGGTCTGCCTTCAATTGAAGCGGAATCTTCTGTTTTTAATCTGACAGGGAGAGACGGCTGGTGGTTGTCTAACTGCGTAGCAGCTCTTGAAGATGAACTAGAGCTGTACTGGTTATTAAAAGAAGTTTCTTCTTGTTTATTATTCAGGCACAAGGAGGACTGGGGTTGGAGTCCATTCCCATTATCAAAATGAGGGATGAACCAAGGACACGGAAATACATATAAAGGAGTTCTCGCTCCATTGATGTTTGGGGGGTTTTCTTGATCAAGAGAAGACTCAGCTGTACCATTAGCCGGCAATGAGATGTTTGACAGAACAGCTGTTGGATTTTGTAGTACGTGCTGCACCTGAATAGAATTTGAGGATTGAATGATAGGAGGCCAGAAAAGTGGTGTAAACGGTGGGCGATTAAACAAGAAGAATGGGGAATTTGTAGGCGAAGATGGAGGTATCTGCATCTGCACATAGGCTGACATATTTTCGGCCGGCGCTTCCTGATCCTCTGCCTTTATCACTTTAGCCATCTGCAGAAAGAGAGAGCATGTCAAGCAAGTGATACCTTATTAAGATAAGACAGCTCCTCAAAGTGTCAGGCATATCTTTACCTGAACTTTCAAGTGCTTATTTGTTTTCTCCAAGGACTGGAACTCCTTTACCGCTAACTCCTTTTTCTTTGGATTTAAAATGTCACCACAGATGTGAATAAAGTTAGTAATACCAACCAATGGTTATAAATATTAAAAAATACGTGAGAGAGGGAGGGGGAGTGAGAGAGAGACAGCGGGGGACAGAGACAGAGTTCAAAGCAAAGCAAGTTTACAAAATTTCGTTTGGGACTAATGCCTACCCTTTTCAGATTTTCATTCTCCAATGCCAGATCGGCAGCTTTTCTGGTTAACTCCTCACATAGAGCCTGAAGAACAAGCAAAGATGAATGGTTTGCTAAAGTATAAATGCATGCTAGCCAACAAAGCAATCTGCACGGGACACATATCATGCAATTTGAGAATAAGAAACATAATTGATCAACATCTATTTTTTCCTTTGAAAAGACCAGTGCACCTTGTAATGCATTTAATTTACTGCCACAATGGCACATGTTATACTGTCATATTATGGCTACAAACTTCAGTCGAACAGCAACTACAATTCAAAATATTTAAACAGATTCATGTCATTAGTTATTCCTGAGACTAGAAAATGCAAGGAGGCCGTCTATGGCCACAAATGATTAGTTCATAAAGGAAAGGGAAAAAAATCAGTTGGGGATCCCAAAGCACAAATTAATTAGCTACCCTTAAGTTCAAGAAACAGACAACGTATTATCTCTGGATCTCAGGACAGGACTAGATACATCGCAGACTAGACACCCTAATGGTTCTGTAGGTGTAGGGTACAAGTACAACCGTACAAGTGTTCTCCGAAACTGGTCCTGTCATCTACCTAAACCCTTGCCAATACAAAGCTCTGTTCCCTTTGCTATTTTATTACCACACAAACTTCATTTTTCGAAAAAAGAACTAGAAGAAAGATATATTAAACTAGCAGAGTAAAGCGGCCTACCTGCCGTCGACGAATTGTTTGCCTAGCTGACTCTCGGTTTGCCATTATTCTGCGTATCCTCCGCTCTTCCTTTTCCTCCTAAACAGGGAAAATATTAACTAACGCTAAAAAGAGAAATGTAATCACAGAACATCGCTGTACAGGGAAGAAGTTTAAAGGTTGTCAGTACCTCAGTTAAATTCCGCCTTGACTTGCTGCAAGTAAATGATGGGTAAATTGTAGTGCATATAGGATTTGGCTTATTTAATTCTGTATCATGCTCAGCCTTCACAACCTTTTCACTCAGAACCTGCTCAGTCTTCACTGGTTCTGTAAGGACATTTGTGCATACCGTTTCACATTGCTGCAAACCTGTCACCGCTTGATCCTGATATACACAAAAATATTTCTCAAGTCCTGCAGAAAATAGTGCAATTTGGTGACAGTTAAGCATTCACATCACCATGTAACAGATTACCGCGCCCTCCCCCTCTATAAACTGGTGTCGCTAACTATATTTAGACAAATCCAGATGGTGATATTATGTGCAAATTTGAAAAACGATTCTAGCTAAGCCAGCCCTGGACTCGGCCCCATTACAATGTACGTCCGGTGTAACAGATTACCCCACCCTCCCCGCAAGGTTAAATTGGTGTGGATAACTATATTTTAGACAAATCCAAATGGGGATGTGTTATGTGCAAATTGAAAAACGATTCTAGCTAAATCAGTATGGACTCGGCCCCATTACAATGCACGTACTAACATTAAATTCCGGCCATATGTGAACTATTTATGCATCCAAATTGTTGGTGACTGAACTCGCAAAACTCGCATTTGAATCAAGCCATCATCAATGGGCAGAAACTACAATTTACTTTGACATAAACAAAATGGGAATCCTTCCCCGAAAAAGGGTTTATCCTATTTTCAAAACCTGTTACTATTTCTGTACAAAGAATCAAACTTTAATCCCTTAACAGTGACAATAACATCATACAAACCCCATAAAGTTGTTTAACTTTATTTTCTCTGTAACTCGTCATGGATAAGTCGCTATTCTTCCCTAAAAGTCCATTATTTCCCAGAATCTTTGAATTTTTCCAATTCAAGTTAAAATACCAATTTCACCCAATACAAAAACCACCATTCCCTTTCTCTTTCAACACCTTCTTTCTCAAAACAATAATTTAAATCAAAATAAATGATAATTTCAAATACACACACACACACACACACATATAAGCCAAAAAGCCAAACGAACCTGAGGGAGAAGATCCGGACATGTGGGAGGCGGGTCAAGCGGGTTCAAACCCGACCGACTCGGCGGAGACTCGCTCTTGACTCGCTTCCTCGCTCGCTTCCCTTTCTGCCCCCAATGCCCTGCCGATTCAGCGCCGCTACTCTCGCGCATAGCCAAATGTGCCAAATCCGCCAGCGCCTCCGCCGCCTCGAGCTCCTCCTTCACCATCCGATCCGCTCCGCCGCTCCCGCCAACCCCACCGCTCGTCGACGACGAATAAGAACCGGAATCAGGCGACGACGACGGCCCCGCCGCCGTGGACCCTGTCGAGCTCGAAAACGACCGCCTCTCGGAAGACACCATCGCTTCCCTCTCTCATAAAACACAAAAGCAAAACCGCACGCAGACAAAGTGTTCGATTATTTGCGTCACTGAGAATTCGTACTTGCTTCTTCAGGACACGTTACGTTAAGCTACTGAAGCGACATAGCTGTGGAGAGAGTAAGTAGAGCGAGAGAGAGAGAAAGAGAGAGAGAGAGAGGGTTACTGCCTTACTGGTACAAAAGCAAAAGGGTTGCGAGAGAGTGCCACTTGTCGAGCCACCTCAGGCCACGACGTCCTCGCTAAATCGAGCTCCATATATCTCTGCGCGCCACGTCTCCCTTTTCATACGATTACGCGGGTGTGGGCTCGCACGTGGGAGGCACCGCACACGTGGCCCGGCAGTTGATTTACACGTGGAGTTTTCGACTACTTTGCACTTGCTCGATGAGGTGGTGGAATCGGAAGGTGGATTTTTTTTTTTATCCGCGCGGTAAAACGCGTGGGGGATATAAGAGGTCGCAGCTGTCACCGTTGGGTCCCAGTGCGTGGTTGTTGCCTTTTGGTTTTGTGGGTCTCCTTGGTCCTTTTGATTTGAGTTGACTGCCTGTTTTCTCCTAGCGTTAATTTTGTTGCTAAAATTTGAGATTATTTGTCAGTAATTTCGTATTTAACAGTAATTATGATTTAAGTTTGATTGTGTAAGTCAGAAATAAAGATTATGTTGGAAGAGCAATGCACGCTTAAGGTCCTCAAAATTAAGACTTGTAAGGACCTCTTTCCACCGAGGTATTTCATCTTCTTTATATAGTTGTGCTCTGCATTAAGTCTTTCTATCCAGTAGGAAGATCTAAGACTTGACTATGTCATACACAGTTAGATGATCATCTACATCTTTACCTATTTTTGCACGCACACAGTTTTTTTATCATGAGTAGTTGATATTTCATTATTTGCTCTTAAATCTAATTCATATGAAGCATGTTAAATTCCATATGCATTTTCCATAAAATATTAACTACTCATGATAAAAAAAATTGTGTGCGCGCAAAAATAGGTGAACATGCAGATGATCATCTAACTATGTATGACATAGTCAAGTCTTAGATCTTCCTACTGGATATAACGAGGTATTTCATATGCAGTGCATGATGCATGTGTCTTCGGACTCATAGGAGTGGCCTTCTCATCTTCGCCAGCCGAATTTTCAGCTTCAATGGTGCCTCTTAGCTTCTTTGCAGTCAAATAGAGCTTCACATCTTGCACCTGTTTCAAGTAGTTTCTTCCAAAGACTTCCAAGGCAGGTGAAGGTTCGAAATTTCGCTTAAAGGGATGGAAAAGGTCGTGGTTTGTGCTATGGAATAGTAAAATGGACATAAGCAGTTAAGCACCAAGGTTTAGGACATTCTGGTTCAAAGACATAGTTTGGTTCAACTAATAGCAAGTAATGGCTTGGCTCCATGTAGCTCAAATGCGATTACGATCTATATTTCCTTTTCTTTTCTTTTGTTTGTCAGTTCTCTCACATAATTCAACACAAAAAATATATAATAATCGATCAATCAAAGCAAGATATGTAATTCGTAAAATAAATAGCAGGTAATGCTTCATGGTGAATCAAGCAGCTTAGGTTTATTTATCTAATTTACTGAAATTGTGAATGGGGCTTGGGCCGTTTTAGTTGGTCCAACTCAGGTCCATTCAAAGCCCAACCCAACCTCAACTCAAATGTGTGCCCAAAGCAAAATTTCTATTTTTGTAGAAATTTTGTATTCTTTTTGCCCATATTCACAAATCACAATTCTTCCATGTCCATTCAAACAGTACAAAATCTTTGTACTCACGAAAATCACAAAGTAAACTGTGCAGTGTGTACAAGCGTGAACAACATCTTTGCGGCCATAGAACTACCCACCAAATCTATGTCGATACTCATGGTGCAATGTCTCCAACGCCGCTGATCATTGGTTTTATGCAGTTAAACTCGTTCACAAGCTCTAGTTATTCCGAGAATTTTTTTTGACAAAACTAGTTACTAGAAGACTGTTAGGTTCCTTATTAACCGATCTTGACTTGGACTATACCGAAATCGTTTCACAAAGTAAGAATTTAAATGGTCATTTCATTGTTTACTACCTCGAATCTCTGTTTTTCAATTAAGGTTTGTTTTTGTTTTTCAGATTCCAAGATTGTGATTAACATGGCGTTACCTGAACTCAAGGCACAAATCAAAATTTTAGTCCAATCCATGAGGTAATTAACTCTTTATTCACGTTCTTTTGGTTAGGGCAATTACGCAAACTGGTATTAGGCCATTTTTTTATCTCTTTTTTTTATACGGGGATGTCGGGAAGAGGGATATTCGAATACAGAACCTTGGTGTATGAGTGAATGTTATTAACCATGTACAAACCCTTGCTATAAAGGTATACGTGATGTGTACTGGGTTTTCAATATTTCTTTTGTACAGGGTATGTTGGTCTACCAGTTTACTCAACTACAAGAGTTGCAAGATTCAAGCAATCCCAATTTTGTTGCTGAAATGATCAAGTTGTTTTGTGACAACACAGAAAAGGTTATAACAGAGTTGGAGCAATATTTGTAATAACCTAAAAAACTCAGACTCTCGGATGCAATTATATTCATTTTTTGTGTAGAGATTTTGATCCTTTATCCAACTTTTGGATTTTGGGGTTTATGTATTTAAGTTATGAATTGTTTGCAGATGTGAAGATGTTGACTATTGCAAGTTGACTTCTTTTGTTCTTCAACTCCAAGGAAGTAGCTCTAGGTACGATGCTAACTGCTTCTCCTTGATTATTATACATTTGGGATTACTTCGAAACGGATAAAAGTTTTCGGACAACTAAATTTTGACTGTGTTTGATAGAAAAACTTAAAAGCATTTATAGTAAGTGCTTACGAACAAGCTCTATACCTCGCTCCCCATTGCTTACGTGCTTCTCCATAAGCACTTTTAACTTCTGTCACGAATGCTACCAAAACTGCTGTGGCTATCATGGAGCGTTGCGCATACCTCACTTTTGCTTTACTTTTGGCCTTGCAGCATTGGCGCACGGCAAATAACACTAGCTTGTGCTGATCTTAGCCAGGCTTCTGATGACAAAAACAAGGAAGGGTGAGAAAATCTTATGGGTAATTAACCGGTTGTATACAATTATGTTAGTATTTTTCATTATGTGATTAATTATATGAGGTAAGAAGTGATAGAGTGCTAATAGCATTGTTAGGTAATGTTTTTATGACGCTCTCACAAAATTGTTTTTTGAACTTGGTTACAGTACATTTATTTACTTAATACATTCACTATCTGCTGGCCATATCCAATATTAATGTCTTAAACATTCTATATAATAAAACTTAGAATGGCGTGTAAATAATAGTTTTAGATTTCTGTCCTGTTCAATAGATTTTTGTTCTTTTCAGGGGCCTACATGCCTTGAGGAGAATCACACATTATTACATAGAATTAGACCACAAGTTTCAAACTCTAATACAGGTAATGCATTTCATGTACTGTCACTTTCACTTTATATCTAAATAGCCTACGTGAAGGAAAAAAAAAGAAAGAGATTTATTTTGTATTATTTTAAATATTATTATCAGGAGGCGGGGTAAGGGTTTAAACAAGAATAAGGCTGCATAGGATGGTTGTTCCCTCCCTTCCCCTACCCCTCCCCCTCCCCCTCCCCCCGCCTTTCTCACAATTTGACTCTGGCAATGCGAAGAGCCTTATTAGTTAGAGGTCGTCCCTTATTGTTATCAAGGTGAGGGGAAAGCGTTCAAATTATTGCAATGATTTAGAGGAGGAGAGAAAAGTATCGATGCATGGGTAAAAATCGTACAACATATCCATTAAGATATTCAACTACTAACGTCCTTTTAAGCAAAAAAAACTGGTCAAATGAGCGCTACACAAGAAACAAAAACTGACTCGCGGTAGGACTGAGAACTGGTGTTATGTTGGGGTCATAACTTTGAGATTGCTTTTTCATTTTAAAAAGATGGGAACCATACTTTCAGACTTTCAGTGATCCCAAACTAATGGGGTGCAAAGATTAATTAAACCATAATTTGTTATCATTTACACTTTTAAGTATTGTATATTAACATTTTCCTCACCCTTGGGTTGTGCAGCTGGAGAAGAGCATCCTTGACATTGAAACCATACACCAAAAGATTTGATTTTATGAGGAGTAATTTGGTGTTATCAAATGAAGATTTTGTTTTTAAGATTAGAGCTTTTATAAGATTAATTCTTTTTCCTTGTGTAGTATCTGAATTTTATTTAATTTGTTTATTTTGACAAACGATATGATAATTTAACTAAATTCATCTAAAAATTCTAAAGTACACGGAAGAAAAAGAAGAATTTGGAAAATTCGAATTTAAATGCAAAAAGTGAAGCACATTGCTTTAGTTAACTAAACCGGATATATGTACCTCGGAATTTTAAGTTGGGTAAAATTTTGTAAAAAAAGAAAAATCATCAGTCAAGGTTGACAAATGATGGGATGCCTCAAATCCTCCTTTATGTTTAATTTAGTGCATTCATTATCAGGCTTGCATGAGGTCCTTTAATTGATTGGAAGGACAGACTTGGGCCCTGTGGCCTCTTTTGAGCACTAATCTTAATCATTCTTGATCATTGAAGCCTATGTTAATCTAAACATTCGTGAGGCACGAAAGTGATGAGTTTCTCAAACGTCAAGGACATTTCCAGGTAAAAAATCCGAAACAAAATATCAGACTTCACCCAGTTACAGGTTACTTGTCACTACAACGAACTAAACAGAAACAGCAGTGACTCCAAGAAAACATGACTAAGTAAGAAGAAAATGCTCCTAACGATTAATGTCAAAAATTTAAGTTTGACAGGAAGTTGACGATCTATACCACATTCTCTAAAACATCCATTAGAGATGGTGCATAAAACTGATGATGATGATGATTGGTGCAGTTCAATCACCAGATGACTGTCTAATCAACGTTATTGACATCCGTGGTGGAATTCGACGTATGTGATGTGAAACCAGACGTTGGTGATGTGAGATTCGATGTAGGTGATGTGAGACCACCGAACCGCCTGTAGGATGGCGTTGGGGGAGATCTCGGAGATAGGTTAACAAACTCTAAGGCCTGCGTTCTCAGCTCTACCGGATAGTCAGCAACACAACCGATTCTCGGGCCAGCTCCTGTTGACCACTTGAGCGATAGCTGATGCCCGAGTTGGTATGATTTCACTGAGGTCTTGGAGTTGATCCTCTGCAGTATCTTTTTCTGAGGGACCTCAGTTCTTGGACTATGAAGACCACCGGATAAAGTCCTCTTGTACTCAGTTTTGGGTTCCGCTTGTGGAAGTTCAGTGGATTCTGCGGATTGGGTTTTCTCCACTTCTTCTGGAATCTCCGGTTGAGGAGTTTCAAAGTTGGTTGGCATTCTAAATGTACTCCCACCATTAGACTTGCCACCATCATAGCTATCAGAATCGTCAGTGGCCTTGCGTATCTGGGGAACAAGAGAGTTTAACACACCATTAGCCAAATGCAGATTAACGAAAACATGGAACAACAAAACTCCCAATGAAGTGTCACCAACTCGTGGTAATCCTAGTTTTATTTTCCAGGTTGCTAATTTGGAATAAAAGCGCTAAAAGAACCATACGTTTTATCAATTACCTGAACTTCGTCAAGGTTCACCCCGTTATCCTTTAGAACTGATAAAAAGGTATCAAGCCTTTCATCTGTTGGCCGGTAATGCCCGCTATATGCAGAGATTGACTGCAAAATCAACAATACAAGGATCAGATGCTCTAAATCCAACATACTTAGTCAGTACTTTAATAAGGCGCTACCAAAATATTGCTTGTGCATGTTAAGTTTGTTTTTGTGCTAAAGGATCAAAGATAACAGCTATAAAACAGTACCTTCAGAACTCCATTCTCTGCCTCTAGCCTTCCAGCAGCTATCGCTGCTCCTCCAGCCAAGAAGCTAGAATGATGGAAAACCCCTTTCTTTTTCTGAAAGAATCAACAATGTGTTAGCTATTTTCTGGATAACAACAGAAAATGAGAAACACGGGCATCTTATGTTTTCGATTCTTACAACGCCAGCATAGAGTCTCTTAGAGGTGCTCATAACGAATATCCACTTAGCTCCCGGAGATCCATCCTTTGTATGAAGAAGCTCTCCGGTTTGCGAGTGAATAAGTTTCCCTTCCTCGACAATGTATTCATAATGCACTCTCTCTTGCTAAAATTCATCAACAATATCCACAACCACAAAAAGGGTTAAAAGAAAGATCATAAAATCATGTAAAGTTGAATTGATTCATAGAAGCACATACAGGTCCAAGATACTTGATGCATTGTTGTCGAAGCTTCAATCTCGGGCATTCTTTCAGCTCAAGCTCTTTTCCATCTCCTACATCCAACCTGCAAGGAAAAAAAAAAAACCAGAGCAAAAATCAAACTTTAATCAAGTGATTAAACAAATTAACTTGAAGAGAACAAAAATGGTGACTTTTCATACCAGTAAAAAAATGGCTGACCAGCATCTGCTTTAGACCACTCTTCATAATACACATGCAAGCTATGCCCATACCTATGCCTCGGATCAATCTGGATTTTACCCACCCAAAATTTCATTCAGTAAAAACAACGACAAGAAATTGATTTATGTTGATTAACAAAAGTTAATTTTTTATTAAAAAAAAATCCAGAGAAATCATTTAATAAAAATAATTACAGCTTCAATCCAATGCTGAAAAGCCAATTTCTGTGCTTTGGCGTCTTTGGATAGCCCCTTGCCAACCTGCCAAAAAGTCCAAAATTTTATTTAGACTCCGTTTCACATTTTTACCATACAACCCACCTAAATTCGATAATATAAGTGATTTTCGCACATCATTTTGTACGTTTTTTTATTAAGAATCAAGTGACAAAAGTAAACATAAGAGTGCGCTCTACAAAAAATTAGTTACTACTAATAATCAAGAGACAAAAGTAAACATAGGAGTGCACTCTGAGAAATCTTTTCCGATACGAAAAACAGTAACCACACACAAATTATATTTCTTTTTCGATCCAAACCCAGAAATTAAAACATAATTGTTCAAAAACATACCTAAAAAATAAAATAAAATTTACCTTAGAAGCATTCTTGCCGACACGGTTCCAACGTTTAGCCACAGATTCGCCGTGATCAAAGAACGAAATCGTGCTGCGGTTCAATCTCCAGGAATCTATCGCTTGCCACCTTCAATCCGTAAAACACCCCTCATTTTTCAGTTAATTTCATAAATTTGTGTGTTCGTGTTACCACTGAATACCGAACTGTTAAAAAAAGCAGAGAAAGCACGGAGATTCGGTACAGTTTCACTCACCAGTATTCTTCAACGACGACGGCGGAGTCGGCTAACCTGCGCCGGGTGCGGTAACTCCGATACAGCTTCTGAACCTTCACCGCCGCCGTCGACTCCGACCTCTCGCCCACCGGCGCATCCGTGTCACCCGCTGGCGCCCCGTGAAGCACATCGGGGGCCAAGCATTTCGGGCCAACGCCAGACATTTCAGAGCTGCGGAAGTCGCGGGAACCGAGCGCGGTGACGGAGTAAGAAAACGGAGGATTGTCGAAGGTTGGGAGGGTTTGTGTCTGAGTTTCCACCTCCATTTTTTCGATAAGAGAGAGTCGAAAATATGGTCGGAGTTCGGAGAGTTCAATGAATTTTATATGGGGCAAGTGGAGGTGTGGGGGTGGTTTTACCGGGAACCTTACCGGTCAACTTTAATGCATTTAGTAAACGTCTGGGTTTTTGGGAGTGGGAGGCTGTGTGGCACGCGCTTGGAGTGCAGATCGGGCACCGTACACAGTTGTAAATAGTGAAATTTTTTATGTTTTTTTAAGTTATTAACTTTTTAACGTACATATCCTACTATTTGTATAGTGACATGTGGTATATCACTTCATATGATGGTCACATTGAAAAATCTCTCGAGATAGAGGAGAAATTCCGATTTTTTCCTTTTTTTGTTAAGCTGATATTCTAAATTAATTTACTAGGAAAAGAAAGAAAGTTTGGACCTAAGTCGCAATGGGCGAAGAGAAATGCTCTAATTATTAGGCAATCCACCACTTGATTTAGAAATAAATGAAACTAGACCGTAGAGAATAATTGTCAGATGCTTTCTACATATTCTGATGCTCTCTACATATACTTTTTTACTTCACACACATTTTTTTCAATATTTGACTCGGTCAAATCGAATGAATTAAAAAGAATCAAAAGATAAAAATTAATAGAAGGTGTGTGAAAGGTAAGAAACAAATGTGTGGATAGCACCACCTATAAAGAATATGGACAAAAAAATTTAGATAATCCTTTATTTCATTAGATGAAAAGGTGCATGATGGTTTACTTGTGTCATATAAGTTATATTTGTAAGCTTATTTTTTATTGATTTATACTAATAAAACTAACCATATTAACTCACTTTTTAATAGGAATAGATCATACTATTGTATAAAAAAACCCTACCTAATTTATTAGAAACTGTCATCGATATAGTTATATTTTTTTACAATAAAATAAAATAAAATAACATGGTCACTTTTGTTAGTGAACGATCAAATCATACATTAGGATATAATTTTACTACATCTGTTAATAGATGATTGTTATCATTGATTTAAATAGTCTTTTTTTTTTTAGTCGAATCATAGCGTTTGTAAGTTAAATATTAAATTAGCCATCAATTTAAATAGTCAATCAAGTTTTTTTTTTCTTTTTGATTTTCTTTCATTAAGGAGTTGTACGTATTAATCTTACTTTTATTTATTTATTAAGGAGTTGTAGTGTCAATAATACGAACGATTTGCAAATCTTATGCGACAACATTTGAGTATTACTGAATAAAGAAGATAACTTTTACCCAAGGATATTTATTTATGTGTTTTAATCCTTTCTAATTTATTCAAACTAATAGTAGAAAGGAGCTTTGGATTTTAAAGTGAGAAATTCAAAGAGAACTCTTTCCAAAATAAGACAACTTACGATCTTTCTGTCACTTGAAGTTTTAATATTTTATACTATTAACACGAAAATTGATTTTAAATTATAAATAACAAAACTTTTATAAAGGGAAATGTTATTAGCATTTCTAAAATTTTATTTTACACTCCTCACAAGTGTATTTTTTTTCTAATTATAAAAAATTTAAAATATAAAATAAAATTTTTAGAATGTCAACAACAATTTCTTTTATAAAAAGCCTTGATTTTTTCAGAATTCTTTTAACATTTCTCGAAGTTTCAGAGTGATTCACGTGCTTGGCTTTCTGCATTTCAATTTTCCAGGTCAAATGATATTTCAGAATGGAATGACGTGATACCATGTAAACTGTAAAGTAAAAGATGTCCCCCAACATTTAATTATTAATGTCCCAGTCCGTCTGCCAATCAATTTTTCCCCCTTTTTTTTCTTTTTTTTTTTTTTTTTTTGCATTTTTCGGCTATAGAAAGAATTCAATCTTTGTTCTTTTTTTTTTTTGAAAAAGATCTTGAAGATTTTAGAAATTCTGTGATCGTGATCGTTTATTGTATATTATTCAGTTAGAAATTATTTTAAAATTTAAAATTAAATATAAATAATACTTAACGATTTCTGACCGTGAACGATCATGATTACAAAATTCCTAAAATCCTTAGAAAAAAATCTGACAAAGATGCTTTTTCTTTTTTGGACTTGCATGTTTTGGACATTTCCGAGTTAGGAATTTTTATTTTTGCAAATCTGATATTTGAATGCTAGTAATGGTACACGTATTTACTTAATACGACAATCATTTGTGAAGGGTAGATGTTTACGTGTAAACTATGTGCTCGTTTGAAACTATTTTTAAAATGATTGAAAATACTTTTGGTCAAAATCTTTTGGAACTAATCTTTAATAAAATTCAAGTGGATCATGAAAAAACATTTTAAGTGTTTCTTGCAAGAAACACATGTCTAGTGTTTCTTCCCAAAAGCAATTGAACCAAAAATCAATTTCACAAAAAGCGTTTTCAATCATTTCGAATGCACTTACAAACTAGTCCTATCTCATTCCACAAACAGTAGTGCATGACTCCCATACATCCAAACTAAAAAGAAAATGGTAATAATTGATTTAATCGAATCAAGGATTAGGGGTTTTATGGAATCAAGAGTTCGGGTTTTGGGGGAATGAAGAGTTAGGGAAGTCTAACAACTTGGAATTTGAGATCTAGTATCGGGGAGTTCAAGACTCAAATACGAGGTCTTGCTAGGGTTTGTTTAGGGTTTAGAGGATAGACTTGGTTGACTCCTTGGAAACGTGTCCGAGTTTTCTTATAACGCTTGTCACGTTGATTTGGTCACTTATAATATTCTGATTTTTATGAATGTTATTTCATGTGGTTTGAGTGTATGTGCCTTAATGTTTGATATTTAATAAGAATACGTGTCTAAGGTTGTCTTCATGGTTCTTTCCCCCAGTGGTATTTCTAGTCTCGAAAGCAATGAGTAAATTTATAGCACTCGTTTAAAATCGAATTTATTGAAAACTATAAGATTATACAAATCAGTAAAACTTTTATGCCTCTTGTTACTCGAAGATCAATAACTCTCAAATCGTATTTAAACAAAAAATACGATGATCATAAATTTCAAAAAACAAGACACCCATCATTCGGTACAAAACAACATTCTACTTTATGGTCCTATGTTACGAAGATAACAAATATTGTAAAGAAATAAAAGAGATGATGCAATTACAAAATCAACTATTGCAAATTGAGATGTAAAACAAACACATGAGATAACAGTTTCACATAACAAAAATCATGTTAGTGATACATGCAAATACTAAAAACTTCAAAGTCCTCAACCAAATATGGCAACTTACGTTGTTATTTTCTTATAGAATCCCAAGTTTTGTGGTCTCTTAAAACTCAGCAGCTGTACAAGCTACGCTCCTCTTGGCGCCTAAAACTGTGCGATGGACGGAGATATCTGTGCGTTTTGTCGTGCTCGCGTTCGTGGCAAAGACAGAACTGCTTTGTGCCGTTGTCTTTTTTATGTTTATTGGGTCTGTACGTTAGGTGGTTGTACAATTTATATAATATTTATGCAAAGACTTTGACGACGAATTTTTTATATAAAACGGTACACCAAGTCGTGAAAACGACACAAAATCTAACGAGTAAAATGGTGAATCCAGCGTGTGCCCTTTAGGTTTTGGACCCGGTCACAGCTCGTGCTGGAAAATGATGACCAACACTCCCTCTTAGTCTTCGTCTTCGCCTTCAGTCGACTTTCATCACAAATTTTAGGTTATGTTTGTAGTGGATCAGGAATCATGGAAATTGCGGTGAAACATGATATGCAAGGGGTTGGTAGGGTTGGCAACTAGGAAGTGTTGCAATGTATCCGCCCAAGTTCGTTGCAACAACTTTGCAAGAGACCTCTATAAAAATGTCTATCGTGGGGTACATTGTAGAGGATTCAAAGGCAGCGTTGCTTAAGAGCACTTGAACATTTTCTATTGAGTTTCCTCGTCAAGCCAACGATACTACTCACTATCTAGCTCGATATATATGCTCTTTATATTAGTGCGTGTTATAATTGATTTAAGGAACCTCCACATCTCATCTCAAATTTATTGTTGGAATATTGTATTGAGTAAAGGGCGTTTCTTTATCCCCATGTTGTACTTACTACTTCATTAGTGAAATCTATTAAGTTTCTCATAGAAGAAAATTTCGTTGGAACTCAGTTGGTAGAATAATTGTAGTGTGAAATATAAACTTAAACACTAGGGGCCTGCTTGATACACCGGACTGGCTTGGCTAGTATTTGCCTTCTTTGACCTTTGATGTGCATCACGGGTTGAGATTCACTCCGAATATCTGTGTCCAGAGCCAGCAAACCAAGAGATATATACCACTCAATTTGAATCATACGATCGTCATTAGCTCATCCCACTGATCAACTTCATAAAAACTCAAAAATTTGAACGGGGCGAATCTCTCTCTAAAAATGTCAAATCTCTTAGTTTGCAAACTCGTGACAAAGAGATCCAAAGTGGACCTCTTCCGCACACCACCCAAGGTTTCTGACAAAATCAGATGGAACGATCTATTCTCAATATTTAGAAGAAAAAAAAAATTGAAATTAAAACCAAAACTGTCATAGCATGAAAATCTCCGAGAACCTTCTCCTTGGCTAGTGGCAAAAACATCTGTGTCTCAAAACTATATGGACTGGAAATTAAAAATTAACGGGGTCACATTATATGTACAATAATCTCTATTTTTTTCAAAAATTTGAAAAAGGTATATAGTTTTTGAACAAAAAAGGTATATGGTTAAATATATAGGGGCATCTAATCTTGGTTGAGGCCAATATAAATATATAGGGGCATATAATCTTGGTTGAGGCCAATATGGACATAGATGTCGCAGTCAGACCACTCCTTTAAGTGTGACAAGTCCACCAAAGGAATATACAGATAAGCCAATTCCCGAAGGCTTTTTCTATTTGGAGATATTTATCATTTACAAATGATCGAGCCTTAAGCTTAAGCCGATGTGATTAGACGTTTGATCTACCACAACCCAGTTTTAATTTCCTTGTCTATTTGACCTGGAGCAAGAACCTAGCCTTATTTATAATCTACTTTCTATTAATCATAGCAACTTAATTAGGATGTTCATAAATAGTTGCGTGGATCATACAAAGTTTCTGAAAATTGTGGCAGATCTCATTAGTATATATAGGCAGTGATTAAATATATAAATTTAGAGTAATGCT